CTACTCACCCTGTGGCAGGAGAGAGAGAGAGAGAGAGAGAGAGAGAGAGAGAGGAAGAGAAGATAAATATGTATATAGAGAGAGATAGAGAGCAGAGAGAGGATAGATAGATAGATAGATAGATAGATAGATAGATAGATGATGATAGACTGATGATAGATAGATAGATAGATAGATGATAGGTAGATAGATAGATGATAGGTAGATTGATAGATGGAAGATAGATACATAGATAGCTGATAGAGAGATAGATAGATAGATAGATAGATAGATAGATAGATAGATAGTGGATGGATTAATGGAAAGATAGGTAGATAGATACAAAGATATATACATAGATAGAAAGATAGATAGATAGATAGATAGATAGATAGATATGATAAAATGAGACATGTAAAGTCATGCCCTGAGTGACTTGCTTTGTTCTTCAGATCTTTTCCCATCACCTCCCAGTAGCACCACCAACCAGGACACCAATGCTGAATATATGAGCAATCTAGGGACATTCTAGATCTGAACTATGACAATATGGTGCTGACAAGAAGCAGGATGACAGGCAGGCAGGTGCATACATACATAAATACACACACACATCAGTAGACATGCAGGGTACCCTGAATATTTGGAAGCAGAATGAGCACCTCAAAGCAGTAACATGTTGTGAATTAGAAATGCTTTTCTGTCGTTCTATGTTGTTTTGTTTTCTGTTGTAATTTTTTAAGTAAGAAAGTTAAAAGTCTGTGCTCATGATGTTGGTGGTACTGCTGAGGATTAGGTATCTGGGGGTCAAAGCCTGGTGGTAACTGTACTTAGTTCTTGAGTCTGGAAACTAGTTTTCAGTGGAGGGGTCAGCATTCCCTGCTAGCTTCTTTGCAATGCTAGGTAGAGGCCTCAGGCTGAAACTCCAGCTGCAGTCCAGCTCTATGGCATTGTTCCCTTGACTCCTATTTCATAACCTACTTCTGTTGGAGGTCACTTGCCAGCTAGTATTGAGGGTAGAACAGCTGTTCAGTGGGAAATAGGCCTACACATTCAAAACAATATTTTTTGCCAAGTCATGTTCATTAACAAGATAAAACAAAAAATCCCTTTGCAATGGCCTGGTTGCTTGGCTAGATTAGCTCTTTATTACTCTACAATTAACTTTATAACATTTTTATGATCTATGTGAGCCTCAGTCCATATCTTGAGTGTTTGAGATGTGAGTTTCCCCTGCTACACAATGAAATAAAGTATCTTTTTCTCCTATATTTTGAATGAAAACACATGTGCCTAGTACAGTAAATACTAATAAAGAGAAGTGGTTTTCATTTGGCCAGTTTGGAAATCTGAACCCATGTCGTGGTATCTAAGGAAACTCAAAGATCTCTGAACAGCCCGAGTGCTTTCTCAGTGTTATATAAAATGAAAACCCTAGCCTATGAGGCAAAATCCTGTAATCCCAGCACTCTGGAGGCTGAGGCAGGAGGATTGCCAGTTTGAGGCTAGCCTGGACTGTAACAAGACCCTCTGTGTGTCATACATGAAATAAATAAACTCTCCCAAGCCCAGTTCCACTTTTGGAGGGGTTGCAGGGACCCATATTTCGAATGACTTCTGACAGGTACTTCCCTGTTTGCTTGGCCCTGGGTCATACATAAGCTGTCTTTCCTTGGGCCACTCCCTTCCTAAAAGGAAATGCCTTTGGGACACAGGTAGACTAATGCCCATCACCTGTGTTAACAAAACTCTGGTCTGCCATGGGCTTTGTCACACTGTGGTAGCTGGTCTCAAAAACATATGGCTTTAGGATATAGAGACTCAGGGAAACAGAAGCTGAACTCTGAATAGGCCTTAAAGATGCTGCCTCATTACAGGGCAGTGGTGTAATGAAAGACTAAATTCACTTTAAATGTCAACATATACTGTCATTCTTCTCTCCACTAAACAGTCATCAGGTTTGGCAGTTAGTTTGAATATAGGATCATGCCATTCATTCGTACTGATTGAGATGAAGGATAAATAGCTGTAAAGTATGAATCAAATATTGAAAAATCAGCAACTTCTCTTGAAGTCCTCAACTCTAGGTTGTAACTGGGACCCCTAACATAATTTCCTTGAAGAAAATTGTATTACTTAGCTTTTCCAGAGAAACAGGGTGTGTATGTGAAAGGGATGGGAGAGGCTTTACATCCAATAATGTATATGAACAGGCTCACTATGAGGAATTGGCTTCCATGATATTTACAGAGACTAATGGGTCCATGATCTACCATGGGTAAGGAGGAAAGCCAATGCTATAATTCAGTACCAACTGTACGGCCCAGAAGCCTTGTGAGCCAGTGTGTAAAGCCCAATCTGAGTGCTGAAGAAGACTTGTGTCCTGGGTCAACCAGGCAAGAAACCAAAAGCACAAATTTCTTCTTGGCTTTTGTGTTCTATTCAAGGTCTCAGAGGACTAAAACTACTTTGGAGATTTCTCAGATCCAAATGCTGATCTTATGCAGAACACACACACACACACACAAACACACACGCACACACACACTCACACTCGCATTCTGAAATAGTGTTTGATCTGGGCACCCTGTACCTCACTGAAGTTGGCACATAAAATTAACTGTCACAGAACTATATTTTCATGAGATAGAAAAATGGTGGTAAGGTAAAGTATTCATTTCTATGTGCTCATAAAAGGTAAATCTGAAATAATCTTGATATCATTGAACACAGCTCACATGCTTATTTCTTGATGATTGTTTTATTCTTGGTGATTAACAATGGGACTGCACTTCAGTTTAAGGCTATTAGAGTAAGTTTTTCTAAAGGGGGTGCTATGGTCTGGTTACAACTTACAGCCAGATGGCTACCTCGATCACTGCCCAGATGCTTGTGTATTTGCACAAAGTGCAAAGCATGCTTTGCTTAGCCATCTCATCCTAACGATTACTGTTGTATTACTTTCCAATTTTACTGTAATTTGTTCTCATTTGCACTCTACCAGTAAGATTTTTTTTTAATGACTAGATTCATGGGAAGCAAGTATAAAATGATGATTACCACCTGGTCCTGGAAGCCTATGGCTTTAGGATATAAGGACTCAGGGAAACAGAAGCTGAGCTCTTTGGACAGTCCTTAAAGATGCTTCCTGGTTACAAGGCAATGTTGGAAAATAAAAAATACTTATGGATTGATTTTCCTGAGGTTATGCAGAAAAAAATTAACCTTTGATATTTTTCTTTCACAGAAACTCAAAATTGTAGATCATTTTTTCAGACATTTAAATTAAGAACTCCTGTATTTCACTTATTTTAATATTTTATGTGGGATATAGCTAAGGCATTTTGGGGCTTAGTTTTGTCTTTTAAGAAAAATGTGTATAGCTTTCCTGTAGATAGCACGGAATGGTCCTCTGTTCTAATTCACTTTCAGTGGATTGAAATAAATGGATCTGATTTTCCCGTGGTTAGCATAAAAGATTGAAATAAGATATAATAAAGAGGATGCAGGAAGGGTGCTGGCATGGAGAAAGTGTACTGTGTGACACCTTTCTGCCACATAACTGATATGTCATAGGACATGCTGTCTCCACGGAATGCACAGTGGTTGGATCAGTTGCCCTGGGTCCCAGCTGCTGCAAAGAATTGCCTTAAGGTCACATCTAGCTGTGCCTAATTTCACGGCCCTGAATGCTCTTTCCTTCTCCCCATTTGGGCAAGTAAAAGATGCAGTGCTGTTTCGTCTGTTTCTAGCTAGGAGCTGGGCATAGCTCTCCAGGAAGCCCCACCTGCTTTCTTTCTCTCGGATGTCATACATGGACAGACGTATTAGCTGCTTCTATGGGAAAAATAATGATTAATCAGTGTCCAAAGTAAAAGGCAAGGAATCAGAATGTTCTCTTATTTAGCAAAATGACCTCTGGTTTCAGTTACTATCCTAAAGCTTTTGGGTTAAGATTTCAGACATTATCTCATAAGCAGGTATGAAAGATACTAACTTCAGAATGACATAGCCGTAAATTCTTCTCATTCCGGTCCTGTTTGGGATATTATGTCCCAAGCCTATTACTCCAGGAATTAGATAAGTGTAAAAAGAATATTTCTAACAATATTATTTGAATCAGCTTTTTGAATAAAGCATTTAAACTGGTTTGACCTGAGGAGAAAGTAATGGCATCACATATCATTTTTTTTTTTTTGGCCAAAACTTTGTTCTTCTTCAAAAATCTTTCTTTTTCATTCTTTTTTTTTTTCCTTTTTTCTGTTTTCTTTTAAGCTCTAAAATACTCTAAATTCTTGTGAGTCATTACTTGCTGGTGAGTTAGAACATTTTTGTTATACAGTTTTCTCTTCAGGTTTCTGAGTACCGTTATTGCCACACAATACAGCAGTGTATGTTACAACACTGCTTGTGGTACTGAATTCAAAATAGAAATCACTGCCTGTTTTACTAAACAGTACAATGACTTGTAGACTGTTGTCAAATATGTGAAGGCTGAATGTCCTCTTGTGGTTTTTAAAATGCACTTAGTGATGTTTATATTTTTGTGTTTCAAATACTCTCTTGTGAAGGATGGTTTTGTAATTAAGCTAATTAAAATACAACCTGTTGAATTCACATTTTCTCAGAGGTGCGGTTACTCTGCAACAACCTCATTTTCAGATTTCTTTGGTTTGTGCAGAAATTTTAATGTGTGATTCTGATGATACCATTATTTACTTTCAAGATTACAAAATAACCAAGCAAAGCGTAAGGATTTGGGAAAACATGTCCATAGTAAGCTCCAACTGCTCTAGGCATGCTGTTTTAATGCTGTAGTTGCAAAATAGGCCTTTCTTCAATGCAGTCAAGACGTGAAACAGCTTGGCATAGTGAAATATCTCTTAGTGTCCTCACAAGCAGCATTAGCATCTTCTGTGTGCTTCCCTACTAAATGCCCTGTCCTAGGAAATGATTGGCTTTCTTATAATGACTGAGCATCCTGTTTCTCATCTCCAATTGCCTTCTTTCCTCCTTTCTAGTTCCAACAACTGCAGCCAGCACCCCAGATGCCGTTGACAAGTATCTGGAGACACCTGGCGATGAGAATGAGCACGCCCATTTCCAGAAAGCCAAAGAGAGGCTGGAAGCCAAGCACCGGGAGAGAATGTCCCAGGTACAACAGATGCTGTCATCTTCTGCATTGTGATGTTGGGAAATCAGGGCTTGCCTGGTCCAGTCTTCCCCGGAGCCTGATGGCTTTATTTGTTCAGGTCTTTGGATATGAAGTTTAATTAAACTGTAGGGACACAGATTGTAAGATTGTGGCCTCCTCTAGAAGCATGCCTCTAGGAAAGACGGGGATAGGAAGATTTTGTAGCACAAATTAAACTGTGTCTGGGCTGAGATTATGGCTCTGTTAATCTGCTTCACTTTAGTGAACTTTAGTGTATTTCATAATATGCTATAGACTGCAAATGTACAAATTAAGATTTATTTAAAGAATAGAAAGGTGGGGGATGTTAAAATAGCTCAGCTAATAAGCTATTGATTGCCACTACAAAAGATAAAGATCTGAGTTTGATTTTGAAACCCACATTTAAAAAAGGTCAGATATAGGTAACATGTACTTGGAATCCCAGTTCTGGAAAGAAGGAGACGGGCAGATCCCTGGGACTTGACCTGACCAGCCAACCCAGCCTATTTGGAGAGTTCCAGGCCAGTGAGATAACCTGCAGCACCTGAAGATGTCCTCTGTCTCACACACCTGTGCAAACACACACACACACACACTGAGAGAGAGAGAAATACACATTGATTTATTACTCTATAGAATGTATACCCACCAGGTTGTAAATTATAATCCATTAAAAAGTTGTTCAGTAAAAATGAATACTTTTATATTGTCAGATTATTACAACTTTGAGCCTACCATTTCTGGCAAATGGAATTCATAGGAAATTAAAACTAAACTAAGCAGTAATGATCATTTCATTTCCCATAAGTGACAGACAATGGAATAAAGACTTGAGTAGAGTTTTGCAATGCAGTTTTGCAAACTCAGATGATATTTGGAATCCAAGTCTTGCTGCTACTTTAGTGTCCCTTAACCTATACTAAACTGTAGACCTTTTTAAAAAAACAAACAGATTTTTGGTTACACTGAAAAAGAACTTATGTCTGGAAATGGCTGATCTACATGTAACAGAACCAACTAGAATTTCAGTTATATGTGCTTCCACAACCCAAACCCGAAATAACTTCTTTATCTGGCTTTTATGCCCAGTCATTATCCACCTGCTCTAACACCCTGTACCAGGCACCAGACCTGTAGGGGCACTGTCTATATTCTATAATCACCCAGCTGATTCCATCTACACAATCCCGCCTTGCCCCTCTTACCATGAAATATACTCCAAAGGCTCTGCTCAGTCCTCCCCTCACTCCTTTGCCTATAACTGACCCTGGTACTGCCCATGTGGCCCTTATGTCTTGGGAACCATGAAGCAAATGTCTTCTCCATGGGATTCATCTCCTGATCCATTGGCCTCACTGTACCTGAGTAATTAAGAAAACCCTCTTTTTGAAACAGAACTAATGATATATCTTGAAAAGCAAGACACAATTGTGGGATTTTTTAAATTTGTTTTGGTTTTTGTTTTTTTCAGACAGGGTTTCCCTACAGCCCCAGCTAGCCTAGAACTCACTATATAGACCAAGCTTGTCTTTCTCTCTCTCCTAGAGATCTGCCTGCCTCTGTCTTCCATGTGCTGTAATTAAAAGTGTGTGCCATGATACCTAGCCCACAATTGTGCTTTTTTTGTTTGTTTTTTAAAGATGACTAACTACAATACCTAGACCTGTAGAGTTATACCATAAAGAGAAAAACACATTATGATCACAGTACTTGGGCCTCTGGAATGTGGCACACAATCTAATGGCTAAAAACTTGAAAGTCAGTTGAGCTAGAAAGACTGCTGGCATGAGGTAGTGGGGTTTCACCTGACACCGGTCCCTTTGAAAACTAGGGCTGTGCACATTTTTCACAGACGATTGTATTGTCATCATTAATGGGGGAGACAACTGTCAGTAGAATTTACTGAAATGTCCCCCTTTACACACAAAATATGTCTCACTTCTTGAAGCTTTCAGAGGCTTCCCACTACCCTCCAGAATCCAGTCCTGGGCACATGAATTGCCCAGGAGTCTGAAGAAAGGGTAACACAATCCCGAGTGCTCAGCCTGACCTTTCCAGTGCCCACAGCTGCATCCAACCCCACCTTGCTTCTCCTCTTCCACTCTCCTGCTGGCCCGGCCTGTCTGCAGCTGGAAGAGGCTGTTATGCGCAGGCCTCACCCCTAATCTGGGGCTGTGTTGCTCCTGGCCACAGCTTCTTCCAGAAACGTCCTGCTCTTCTTTTCATCCACAAATCCCACCCATTCCTTCACCTCACATAATTCTTAAACAGGGACAATCAGTCATTACTTTTACCTTTCATTTACTTCTAAGGAAGTATTATGTATTCCTTTATTATTTTTTAAATATCAATATCTTACTGCTTCTGCTAGACTGTAAGTTCATTTTAGTCCATATACGTTTATACAAGCTAAACTAACCTAGTATTTCATTCTTAGATGCTAGTCATTTTTCCAAATATTTTTTTAAAACCTATGAAGTTTTCCACTATCTGAGGCATCCTATCAAATTAAGAAAACTAGTTTCAAATGCTCTGTTAGTTTCAAATAATGATGTGCTGCTGAAATGAGAGCTTTCTTTTAGCCTATTTATGACTTAGTTCATATATTTTCTGATTTTTTTTTCTCCATGATCTCACCTCAGATTGGAGATAACTTAGTAGACATTGTCCTAGAGCAGAGAGTTCTGCCTCATAGATGCCAATGTTACAGGAGGCAGGCTGCCTGAGCTGACATTTATCTTCATGATCTATGCTGGTGAATTCTGGGGACTTTTTGACTTTGAACTTGTCTGCCTCTTAAATCTCTTTAGTAACAGTCATTTTCTCTGCATGAAATAGCCAAGTCTCTCAAGATCTGTAAATCTGGGTGAACTTGATGTCTCTGTACTGGAACAGTATTCTATAGGCATACACAGAGCAACCCCAAAGTCCAGATCTAGAGAATTTCAAATTTTAGAATTTGGGATCTTTTTACTTGAGTCTTTTTAATATTTTATTTATTATTTTTATTTTATGTATATGGATGTATTGCCTGCATGTAGGTAAGTGCACCTGCATCATGCAATGCCCAAGGAGGACAGAAGAGGCTGTGGGATCCCCTGGAACTGGAGTTACGGACACTTGTTAGCTGCCCTGTGGGTGCTGGAATTCAAACCCGGGTCTTCTGCAAAACCAGTGTTCTTAACTGCTGAGCCATCTCTCCAGCCCCCTTTTTAACTCAGTTTTAAGAAAATATTTATTATTTTTATTTTATGTGTATGAGTGTATTGCCTGTATGTATATAAGTGCACCCATGTTGTACAATGCCCATAGAGGCCAGAAGAGGGTGTCGGATCCCCTAGAACTGGCGTTATGGATGGTTGTTAGCCACCAAGTAGGCACTGGGAACCAAACCTGGGTGCTTTGCAAGAGCAGCCAGTGCTCTTAACTGCTGAGCCATCTCTCCAGCCCCAACCTTTTATTGCAATTTTTATTATTAATTTCTTTATGCTAGCATGAAAAATAATGGGCTTCATCCATTGTAGCTTTTTGTTGATCTTAACAAATACTAAGGATTAGGGAAGATGGTATGTGTATTGGTGTTACTTGCATACTCCCTGAGGCAGTTGGAAGCAGTCAGGAAGCAGTGTGATGAATGCCTGTACTCAGCTCTGTTCTCCTTTATATTCGGTCCCATTCCCTCAGCCAGGGAGTGGTACCATTCACATCTAGGGTGGGTCTTCCCAAGTCAATTAACCCAATCTAGAAAATCTCTCTGCCATGCCAGAGATTTGTTTCCATGGTGATTCTAAATCCTCTGTCAAACTGACAGTCAAAATTATTCATCACACCTACTTACATATTTGGCAGCTTGTGCCTAAAATGAAGTCCTTCAACGTGAAAATTTTCTTGAGTCAGGCTTTTTAATTTTGAATATATTCAGCAGCCTCTCACGGAATGGCTCCTTCTGCTTCACTGAATAAACTCAGCTCACCTGGTAGTGGTCCTCTGTTGCAATGGCACATTCAGCCGGTAGGGCACTAGGTTTATCATCCTAGCTTGTCCATTTGTTATTTCCATGGCCTTGAGATTTCTTAAGCTTCTCCATAAAATGGGGGTGGCCATACCTAATTGCAGGCTCTATTGTGAGGAATCAATTAAGTTAGATAGACTTTGTGCAGTACTTAGTCCAATAATGTTATCTATTATCAGTGTACTCCAGTGGAAGTTGCTTATTAAAGGGAGATCTTCAGGCTATAAATGTGTCTGTAGGTAGTCCTATAGTGAGGGCACAGGTCATTTATTTGTAAGAGTGTAAGATATTGTTAAATTGCTCTGAAAAATCTGTGTTCAAGTTATTTCTCACATATATATGCATTAGCTAAATACATCTGCATAGTTATTTTATGGAACTCCACTCAAAACTGAAAGTTCAGGCTCTGAATATAATTAAAAATGTCAATGTAATGCAGGAAATTACTTTTCATATCCCAGTAAGACATTTGGCTTCTATCTCAAACTAATTTTGAGATTTCTTGCTTGTAGAATTCTAGATAGAATACCACCCCTGGGATCATTCCCAGTACAGGATATTGAAATATTTTGACTTCAAGGTTATCTCATCTATAAAGCAAAGCCAGTCTTCAATATCCCCTTGGTCTGCCAGTGCCCTGTGTTAACTGATAGAAACACCCAAGTGTCTGGGACAATCTGTTTGTACTTTCCTTGTGTCTTGTTCTTATTCTTTGTGGAGGGACATCTCACAATTTTGCTATCGACCTTGAGTCTGTTTTAATATGCTGTTCAAGTATTTTCTCCATGATTTCACTAAGACAAGGATCTTTTGTACAAAATATACACAACTTCATATGTTATGCAAAAAATTATGCTAGAAGACAACAAAATATCTAATTAAAAACTCAGATGGTCGCTAGGTGTGGTAGCACATGCCTCTTATCCCAGCACTTGGGAAGCTGAGGGCTAGAGGCCAGCTTTAGTACATAGTGAGTTCTGAGCTAGCCTGGACTATGGTATGAGACCCTGTCTCAAGAAACTGATAAAAACCCTAAAACTCATAGTGTGATTGGATATGATCGCATAGCCTGGTTTTCTTTGCAGTTTTGGTGGATACTTGCTTTAGAAATAGAGAAATGCACAGTGCCCATCTTGCAGTGGGCTGGTATCTGCTGTGTTGCTCTTCCTTTATTTTACCCAGCTCAGTTCTGTTGTACTGAAGCTCACTTCCCAGTTAGTACACTTGAAAAGGAAAAGGCAGCCACAAATGGTGAGAAACTAACATTTTTGTTCAGCAATGCAGCTGTAGACACTACATTCAGATCAGTGAGTGAGAGTGCCTAGGGTATCTAAATGAACATCAGGGTCAAAACAGGAAGTTTGGATCCTGACACATCTGACTCCCCTGGTTACCCCGTGAGTGTTGCCTTTAGCCACGTGCAGAAGATTATTGTTCTTTTGGAATTTCTGTGTGGATTTGGAATAATCTTCACTGTTCACGAGAGTGAGTGAGAGTGAGCTGCTCTTTGGTTCTACAATGGGCGGCCTTAGGATTTTAGACAACAGAAACTTGTCTTCCCCATTATTTGCTTCCTTTGTGGCAAAATATATTCATGATGCACATACACACACCAAAAATTCACCATTTGACATGCTTTAACTTGATCTCATAAGAGCTTAAAACCAGCGCATTTTCATTTTGATGGAAGACGTTGTTCAGGCAGCGTGTGCCTTTTATGAATAATTGGTATTTACTTATGTGAAGTAAAATGACTTAGAGCTATTTATCAAGAAAAACCAGCCTTATTTCAAGAGCCTACAGTCAATGTGGACAGTTATGTTTGCTATACTCCTGGGATAAACTGTTTATATTCTTGTGGGAGGACAAATATTCATATAGGGATGGCCATGTAATATATTTTTTAAGATAGAAAAAATACTGTAATGTAATCCATCGCGTTAAATCTGTATTTGAAAGAACTGAGCAATTTCAGATGAAATCTCTTGTCATTTGTATAGGTCATGAGAGAATGGGAAGAAGCTGAACGTCAAGCAAAGAACTTGCCCAAAGCTGATAAGAAGGCGGTTATCCAGGTAGTGTCCAACTCTTTCCCTCCCTCTCAGACAGGACATGTCCATGTGTGCCTATCGATGGCCTCCAGGTCACCAAGCCTCCCTCTGAACTGCCTGTGTTCGTACACCTGAGAACTTGGATCATTCCCAGTCTTAGTAATGGAGTTGCTTCATCCTTGTTTTACATTTGCTCCCAATTATTTTATACTGGAATTAACTGCCCCCAATCTCACATTGTCACTTGCATTAATTGTCACTTGCATTAATTGCCCCCAGTCTCACATCGTTTTTTTACTGATGGTATATCTTTGTGGTTGCCCTAATTCTCAGCTGCTCCTCTCCTTTGGAAAATTTAGGTGAGATTATGAATTTTATGCTGAAAAAAGTTTCCAAATTACCTTATGTGGTTAGAGACACAATCATGGTTCCTTGCGTAAATAACTACTTTAAGAAAGAAATATGTTTTAAATATATCATGAGTGTCAAGCATATGTAATTTTATCTGACACTGTCATCAGTCAAGTCAGTCACTTTTCTACAATATTCTGATTCCCCTTAAGAAATTGTGCTGCTGACTATAGTAGCCCATGCCTTTAGTCACAGCATGTGAGACAAGCAGGCAGATCTCTGTGAGATCAAGGTCAGCCTGATCTACATAGCAAGTTCCAAGCCAGCTGGGGCCACAGAGAGACTCTGGCTTCAAATTTAAAAAACTAGAAAACAAAAAAGAAATTACATGAAGTGACCCTAAAATGTGCAAAATTAATGCTGAAATGCCTATGCCATCTATAATTTTTATCACACGGAGGATGGCCCTCTTTAAAGTCCTCAGTGACCAGCCCACCTACTCACTCCCTCTTGCACTGACATGTGTGTTGTCCATATCAGCATTTCCAGGAGAAGGTGGAATCTCTGGAACAGGAAGCAGCCAATGAGAGACAGCAACTCGTGGAGACTCACATGGCCAGAGTGGAGGCCATGCTCAACGACCGCCGCCGCCTGGCGCTGGAGAATTATATCACCGCACTGCAGGCCGTGCCGCCGAGGGTAGGTCACATGGAGATCTCACTTTGGGACACAGCTTTGATGGTGGGGTTCAGGCAATGACCCACACCGTATTTAAAGATGTGACATCTGTATGTTTTCCCCTAAAGGCATAGGGTCACAGAGCATAAGGTCACAGGAAAGCTGCCTTTTCAGAGCCCTGTAGGGTCTCACATGTCTCCTTATAGCAGTGAGACAGACTTCTGGGAGCTCAAAGTGCTAAGATTTGATTGGATATTCCTGAGATGGTGGCAACAGATGGTATAACTGAAGTTTGAAACACAGAGGCTAGATGTACATCTCAGCCCATCCAGGTACTCTTTCCTCTCCCGGCCTATACTGATGCGTACTCGGTTAAGTTGGAAGGATCACCTTCTGCAAATCTGAGTTCTTTTTCAGGGAATTCTATCTAGTGAATTCTAGCTACCTAGGTTCCTTGGAACTTCCCTGCAGGTGGCTCTGCCTGGGTTCCACACTCCAGTGTCCTAGAAACTCAGGGCAGTAGGCCCTGACAGTTATAGGGCCCAACTTGATTTGTTTATTATTTCTTAGTGCTTCATGGTCTTCACCTGCTTTGCAGAAACTGTTCCTCACATTTAGTCCATCTGTCAGTTACCTCTGCAGGGGGATAAATCTCATTCCTCTTGCTAGATCTTGGCTAGAAGTGGAAGTCTGTGCCCACATTATATAACTAAATCAAAACGCCACCCACATGTGCTGAATTTCCTCACCACTTTGATTTTTCTTTCTGTATAAAGGCGTTCCTGGCATTCTTCCAGGTAGCAAGATGCTACTAACACTGTTGTACTGATGACATCACTATGACCTCAGGAGATGGGGTAACTGGTTCGGGGTGACACCACTAGAAAGCAACAGGAGAACTATGAGTCAGTCACCCACTGCAATGTCTTCTCCATAGACCACACTTCTCTGAGCAAAGAACTTTTGGGAGCACAATATCTACATTAGCATTTTCATTTTCTGTAAGCAATCTTTCTTCACCCTAAGAATTAGGAAAATTCTGTTTATGTCTTTGCAAATAACAAGTTCCTTGGTTCTTCTTTCTCTAGAGAAAATGCTTTTGGGGGGGATAGGGGAAGCTGTGGGGATTATTTGCTAGGCAGAGCAGGGTGGTGAGTTTTGAGACCAGAGGCTTACCAGGAAATACACTGTGAAGTGGTCTAGACCAAAATCCAGTCTCTGAAGAGACCCCAGTCTCCTAAAGATCTCAGATCCTTGCCCAGTAGTCATTGGTAGGGCCGAAAATAAAATGAAGACTACTGAATGGTATCTTTTCAAAGTCCTTCAATTTAGTCTCTGCCACCATAGGAAAGGCTACAGGAAGAAGAGTGTCTGCCAGAGTTTCATGTCTCATCACAAAGATCGTTTTAGATGGCTCATAATGGTGCTTGTTGACCATGCCATAAAGTTGGACAGCATATTTATTTGAAATGAATATTTTAGACTGAATTAAGAATTATTTCACTGTCCAAAAAATCAGATTGCTGTTGCTTGATCTGAAAATGCCTGTTAAATTCTTAATTCTGAAATGCACGAATGCGTCCCCTTCAATAAAAAATAAAGCTAAGTAAACAGGCCTGAAACCTTGGCAGTATCTGCTATGTTTATGAAGTTACCATCTTTGTCTGGGTATTATTTAAATTTTAATATTCGGCTTTTGCATTGCACTGAGGTCTGTAGTTTGGAAAGTGTTAGAAAAATTTAAATCCCGTCTTATGAACATTCATGCATTGCTCTTAAAAGACATAAATCAAGAATGGCCAGTGATAATCTGAAGGTCACGTCTTGTAACTGGAGTCATAAAAAAATATTTAGGGGGCTGGAGAATTGACTCAGTGGTTAAGAGCACTGGCTGCTCTTTCAGAGGACCGGGGTTCGGTTCCCTGCACCTGCATGACACTGACAACCATCCTTAACCTCAGTTCCAGGGGATCCAGCACCCTCTTCTGACCTTCGTAAGCATTGCACAAAAGGGATGCAATACATTCATACACATAAAAACAATAAATAAAATATATAAAAAAGAAATATTTTGAAGATACCACATAATAAACACAGTGCCTGAAAAATGTAAAATTTTCAGTAAGTGTAATTTGAATATATCATTGAATATATCTGAATAAATTAGTGAAAGTGAAGGGCTTTTTCAGTTTTAAAGAAGTTATCCTGCTGGGCATATCCTATAGTCCCAGCACTTGGGAGGCAGAGACAGGTAGATCCCGGTAAGTTCAAAGTCAGCCCTGGTCTACATAATGAGTTCCAGGCCAGCTAGGACTACAGGGAAACCCTGTTTCAAAAAGACAATAAAAAATAAAAATAAAGAAGTTATATCCTTAACCCTAATCATATTCTAAATGTTTACCAAGCTTCATAAATAAATCTTGCTCAAGCCCATTGGGAACTACATGATCACAGACATTTATGCTTCCTGTTTTTAATTAAGCCAAACAGAAAATGAAGACGTGGAGGAAAGCTTGAAACCTTTCTGTCTCCAAAACCTTATTCATTACAGCAATTCCCTCCTCAGTGGAGCTGCGCTGTCACTTCCTCCACATGGAAGTTGGCGTTCCAGGGAGGCTGTCCTTATGTATAGCGCCAGGGTGTTCTGCCGTTTTGTGGCAGGCAAACATATTTATGTATTAATGTATATATTTTCCTTTCATCCTTCAAAATGAAAAACCGTGAAATTGCAAATACTTTGACTTTTAAGACAAATGTGTATCACATTACTGAAAGGCCCAGTGATTATTCACCTGCCTTGTATTACTAATCTCTGCCCTAAAGAACAGATCAGATCTAGGAAGCTCTCTTCACCTCACAGAAAGTGTACACACACACACACACACACACAATTTCATATCCATATCCAGGGGTTCATTCATTTTATATAACTTAACCATGTATCCCAATTTTAAAATCCTTGATTATAACTGGTTTCTAAGAAGTTTTACTTTGGCTTCGTCGTATAAATGTTTTTAATTAAACAAAACTCGAGAATTTCCAGCAAGCTCAAAATAGGTGTGGAAAAAGGAGAGTTCAACTAAAGAAAAATAAATATGTTTATCTGTGAAAGTCTTAATCAGTTAGGGATGTTTGAAAGAGGAAGCTGGATTCCAAGTGTGAATATGCAAAATTAAAGCAGATTGTTGTAAATCACCCTGAAAAAGTCATGAATATGTCACAGTTGGCATTTGTTGGATGAACAGACCACTTGGCAAAGCTTTGCAAGGGTCTGTGTTACTTAAAAACAGCTTTTGTTTACGAGTTCTTCCCTGACTCCATGGGCTCTGCCTTCTGGGTTGTTTTAATAAGCTGGTTCATCACTGAGAGCTTCAGCCTGTTTACCTACCTAACTAAAGGAGACACAAGGTTGCAGAAGTCCAGATCCTTCCTGGCCTTTCTGTGCTCTCAAATCGAAGGTCTTCTTAGTTCTGTTTCCATTGTCCTTTCAGCTGAAGTTTATCTTAACACAGGAATCATGGAGTTGGGTCAGGTACTAAGTTTCAGTCTGTATGCTTTATTGATTATTTATAACTGTGGTCTGCATGACCAAAATGAGCTATTTCTGAGAACTAGCAAAATTTGAAGAAAAAAAAATTATAAGACCTACAAGATTTGACAAGGGTCACTGATTTGCAGGACAGTCTTATTTTCTACCTTTGTAGAATACCTGTATTTAATTCCCAAGATAGCCTGTGACCTGTAACCAGAAACAAATTGCTTCCTGATGGGAATCCACCTACTTCCTCCATCTGCAAATTGGGGCTACCTTTTCTACTTTTTTTTCTAATTTTTGTTGGCCACAGTTCAAAACAGAAGGATTAACTGAAGGTTGAGACAAGACTAGAATCAAAACATGTCTTCCTCTTTAGGGAACCCAGATTGTGAGTGCAGAGCATGCAGAGGCTTTGGGGGTGGGGGCTGTGCTTCCTTGGTTAAAGACAGAGCCACTGGGGTTGGGGATTTATTTTAGCTCAGTGGTAGAGCCCTGGGTTTGGGCCTCAGCTGGGGGCCGGGGGGAGATGGAGCCACTGAGAAAGGGCTTTCTGGAGGGGGCTGTGAAGGTAGCTCTTTGGCCACATGGAGCCCTTCTTTTCTGACAGTTTGAACAAGGCAATAAAGCATAGTTATCCACTATCTTTCTAGCTAATGTGTCTTTACTATCGGAACTTAAAGTCACCTAATGGAGGAAGCCATTTTCTCTGTTGCTTTGTTAAGACTTGTGTTTGGCCCGGCATACTGTTTTTCTGAAGAAAAGAACATAGATACATTTTGTATTGGGCTTTAAATTTTTCACTCCACTACTAGGCTTAAAGACAAAAATGTTATTTTCCAAAGATTACAGTGGAAGTTTCTCTGATTGGTTTTGTTCGGTCTTATTTGTTTGTTATTTGAGTTTTAAATTTTCCCCAGAATTTTCTTGTAGCCATGAGAATGCATTTAAAAATTTGAAGCCAAAATGGCAAAACAAATTCAGCTAGGAACCATCAGAAAGAGGAAGGTTTAGCTCTCTAATGCGTGTCATTGAACCAGCACACAAAGATTTGTACATTTTACATCACGTGTTTAACACTTCTTGAAATATGAGGTATAAAACTGTGAAAATAGTGGCTTTGTAAAACACTGGAGAAAATTGCTTTTTTTCTTAGTAGGTTAAGTTTCCAGGTCCCAGCTTGGTAAACCACTAGGGAGCAATTTAATGCTTAGGAGAGAGTTTTCTGGAGAAGTTTCCTGTGACCCGGAAGTGTGAGGCTGCTCTCTGTGTATTTGCTTCTTGCTTGGCAGGACTGTGGGCAGGATTTTCAGAAGGTCTTGATAGCTCACTCATTCCCATCAGGAATTGTTTAAGGCGCAAGTGTCTGTTGGGATAAGAGACCTGATTTTCAGATTAAACATAAAGCTGACTGGCCATGTAAATATGCTTCCCATGCACATGGGTGCATGAAAGGTCACATTCAGTCATGAGTTGCACTAGCAGCTTG